CCTTTACTAGTTTCCCAAGTTTGCATAGTCTTTCCTGGTCCTCCAGCCTCGATCTAATCACTATTTCTTCTTTCTTCTTTTGACACAGGGTCTCACTGTGTAGTTCAGACTGGCCTTGAACATCCTGCGTAGCCCAGGTTGGCCTCCAACTCACAGGGGCCGGATCGCAGAGGCCCTTCGGGTCCAGCCCTCCCCTCCCCGCAGCATCACGCCCCAGCACCCAGTCGTGTTCAGACTCTCGGGGAACCCTGGGGCTCCACTAGGGCAACTCCACCCAGCTAGGGATCCCACACCCCAAAACCCGGTCCCGGGGACGGCACCTCCAGATCTCCATCCTCGCACCCCAGGGCTCGCCCTCCCGCACACCCGGCCCTGATCCCTGCAGGGGCCTCACTCTCCTGGACCTCCTTCCGCCCTTCCAGGAGTTCCTCCTTCTCCACCCTCCGGGTCCTGCCGCCTTTTCCCTACCCCTCCCAGGTCCCAGCTTGCAGGAGCCGAGGGTCCCCACAGCACAAATCCTCCCTCCTGGAGCCTGGAGCCCCCTCTGCCTTCCCCAGCTCCTGCTCCGGTTCCGCACCTGTGTGCCACAGCTTCTGGGTCCCCGAGCCCGGGATCCGTCCCTTCCTCGTTACAAGCTGTCCCCGCTCCAAGCCAAGGAGCTCTAGCCGCAGCCGCGTCTCACACTCACCTGCTGCGGACATGGCGCCCGCGCACTTCAGAACGCGATCGTCCCATCCTCAGGCGCCTCAGTCCTAGACCCCAGCGGGCTATTCTAAAGATTAAGTAAAATTGACAAACGCTTAGCCAACCTGATGAAAAAAAGGAAAGAAAAGACTCAAATCCATGCCATTTAGGAGTGAAATGGGTGAAGTCACAATGAATCCTGCATAAACCCAGAAAATCATTAATACCCAGAGAACCTGTACTCAGACAGGATGGAAAACACAGAAGAAAAGGACAGATTCCTAGATATACGTGAATTACCAAATCTAAATCAATAATAATAATTATGAAAGGGTGCTGGACTCTGTCAAACACTTTTTCTGTACCTGTTGAGGTGATCATATGGCTTTGGTCCTTGGCTCTATTAATATGGTACACTACATTTATTGTTTTGCATGTGTTGAGCCAGACCTGAACGCCTGGGATGAATATTACTTGGTCATGGTATACAGTCTCCTTGATGACTTGCTGCATTCTGTTTGCCAGTGTCTTACTGAGAACTTTTGCATCTATGTTCGTTAGGGAGACTGACCTGTAGTTCTCTTTGTTGGTTAGATCGTTTCGTGGTTTTGGTGTCAGAGATTTAAGGCTTGCTTCCAGGGTTGAGTTTGGGCGTACTGCTTCCCTTTCAGTTTCATGAAAGAGTTTGAGGAGTAGCACCATCAGATCTTCTCTACATTTCTTGTATAATTCAGCAATTAATCCATCAGGACCTGGGCTTTTCTTTGTTGGTAGGTTTTTAATCACTTCTTCAACTTTATTGACGGATATGGGGCTGTTTAGAATTGTTATATCTTCATGATTACCTTTACCTTTTGAAAATAATGAGAGGAAGAGAGGTTGAAGGGAGGGGAGGGAAATGGAGAAAAAGAACAATCAAGGTATAACATATACAGTACAAATTCCATATGATGAATGTTATCATCATGTATATCTAAAATGTACCAATAAAATTAATTTTAAAAACTTTCAGGAGATACTGAAGATCATTATATAGTAACATGAGAGTCAATTTGTCAGCACTGCATACCAGTTATAAAGTCATATCTATCTGGGTTTTTTTGTTTTGTTTTGTTTTTTTCCGGTACTGGGAATCAAACTCATGACCTCATGCTTGCCAGGCAGGTGCTGTGACGCTGAGCTAAATCTCCATCCCCCAGTCGTACCTATCTGAATCACAAATATCCAAAACATTCAACACAAACACAGTGGCTATGAAGAGAAAAACAGAGAATGATACAATAATATCAGGAGATTTACATGTCCCACTTTAATACTGGATAAAATACACAGGGAGAAAGTCAGTAAGGAAACTACAGTCATGAGCAACCCCAGGAGCTGCAGGAACCTAGCAGTCACGTAGGAACATGCCAACCCCAGCCGAGAGCACACATCTCACCACACCCAGGACCTCCTGCAGAACAGATCACTTTGCTCGCAGAACAAGTGTGAACAAATGGAAGAAGACTGACATCACACAAGTACCCTTCCCGACCACAGCGCAATGAAAGAAGAAATAGAGAGAAAAACGGAAACAGGAAATGACACAATAGCTGGATTTTAAGCAACATAGTGTTGCGTATTACTGGGTCAAACAAACCCAAAGGGAGATTAGAAATTGCCTCAAGACAAAGAAAAGTGAGAGAAGAAAGTTATGGGATGCAGCTGCAGTTTGCCCGAGTGGTAGAGTCCGTGCTTAGCATGCTGAATGCTGTGGGTTTAATCACTGCCACCAAAAGAAAAAAAAAAGAAAGCAAAGAAAATGAAATAAAACCTTATTGGGTGAAACAGATGAAGCACTAAGGTAGAAATTTACTTGATAAAACTTACTTTAAAAAAGGAGAAAAATACCAAATAAATAACTCACCTATACAATCCAAGGCAGGAGACAAAGAGGAAGGTGTGGAGAAGGACATTCTTTAATTACTCTTTCAATGTATTGTCTCAGGGGGCTGGGGATTTAGCTCAGTGGCAAAAGCGCCTGCCTGGCAAGCGCAAGGTCGTGAGTTCGGTTCCTGGTACTGGAGAAAAACCAAAAAAAAAAAAAAAAAAATGTATTGTCTCAGGACTGACCAAGCCATGATTGTTGCGTTCTGGAGGGAGTCTAGCAAAAGCTTTGAAAGCCCCAGGGTCAACACTAAGTGCTTTGCTGAGATATGCCCGAAGGAATGAGAACATGATGGCTAATTAGTCAAGTATTATTTATTGTTCTTGCTAGATCAGTTTCGATCCTCCCATTTGTACTGCCACACCTTTTGTTCTTTCTGAAAAAAGAGTTACTGAAAGGAGTAATTGGGACTTCAGTCCTGGAGGCTGCCAGCCCCCTGATCCCAGAATTTTGCCTCTCTTGTTTGTCTTTTTCCTCAGACTTTTCTATTCATCTGCGGGTATGTCGTTCTCGGGACCTGTTCACTCTGGACAGAAGTGGATTATTAATCCGACAAGAAGGCAAGCTTACAGTCATCAGCATTAATTTTTAATCATGTTTATTCAATGTTGTACGTTCCACCACCTAACTCCTTCCTCATGCCCGAGTTTCTCTAATGCTACACTGGGTGCTGCCCTTGCACGTGGTTTTCCATGGAAGGTTTCTGCAGGGCTGATCCAGGAATCAGGCCGACCAGGGGATCTGCAACCCCTCCGACCCCGTGGTGTCCGTGCTACCAAATTTAGCTCCTGCCCAGGGCTGTGCTTGGCAGGGATGGGTCCAGTGTGTCCCTCACGCTCAGACGTGAGGCAGACCCCTGTGTGATGACACTGGGGTGTGTTGCTTTTTTCACACACAGGGAGCGGGTTCAGAGAGGAACAGGGACGGTGAGCTGAGACCTCAGCCCCCAGCTGTAAATATAGAGGGAGGTTCTGATCCCCCCAGGCGTGACCCCGCCTCCACCCCACGTGGAGAAGGAAATGTCCCATGATGACCCTTGATGATTGATCTTGGCTCCCACGGCTTCTCAGCTCCGACTTCTGTTCACTGGTGAGAATCCTCCACTTTAGGAAATTTTACTTCCATTTTCTGGTAATGACTATGAAGACTTGAAGATTTTGGACACATTGCATACACCATTTTTAAATGCCCAGCACAGACAGGGGCACTTGAATGGGTGCATACATTGCCCAAAGCCATGCAGATATCATGTCCCAGTGAGTGTCTTCCCTGAGCTGGAAATTCACTATGCTGACTCCACGTCACAGGGACCACTGACTCCTAACCGCGCTAGGTGTGCGGTGCAGCACAGTGGGATTCCGTGACGAAGCTGAGGCTCGGCAGCAAGATGCGAATGGGCAAGGCAGCGTGGGCAGTGGAGGATAACGAAGCATTCAACAGAAATCAGCGTGCGGCCAAGCAGGACAAACCTGCCCAAGGGAAACTTGGGTAGTGGGGAGGCAAGAATGGCTTAAAAGTTTGTTGGCAGCGAGAAGGGGGTGGACTGTTGCTAGGAAAAAGGAAGTCAGTGAAGAGGGACATTTGTGCAGAAAACCTCAACCAGAACCTGGAAGGCAGCCGTGTTGCGGACCAGCCTTCCGGCACCCTGACTTCACAGGACCAGCCCAGAGAAGAACCAGCTCTGCACACGGTTGGGGACCGAGCTGGGCGAGGACAACACAAAGCCTCCCCTTGGCAACGCGAGGGGTATGACTTCCTTGTAGGAGCAGAAAGGAATGAGACGATCTGCGGGAAAACAATGGGCGGATCCGCGGAGTCAGTGGTCCTGAACGGGTCATTATGCCTCCAGCAATGATTGTAACTGAAGCAGGAAGCTTGGGGGTTGAATCCAGGGCAGGGTTTGGCTGCCTGCCTGACAAATCTGTACTTCAGTGCTCAGTTCAATAAACGAAGCCGCTGGTTACCTTCACCCGACCTCAGACCCCTTCTGTCTTTGGTTCCTTCCCTCTCCCCTCTCCCTGTTCCCTCGGTCGGAGCTGGACTCCGGCCGCACACTGCTGTGATTTGGTTCTCTGTAAGATAAGAAGGATCAGATAGTGCGGGGGGCCGGGGGTGGGTGTTCATTTCTATCTGAAGTGTCCATAGAGAAGTTCCTGCCTATTCTGCCCACCCTGAGGAAACTGCAGCCAGGCTCCAGGAGAGGGCAGCTCCCCTTCTGGTGGGGATACGGACCAGACAACGTCACCACAGGCAGAAAATGGACTCTGAGTGGCCACACCCTGTGTTTCTGTCTGCACTACCGGGCACCACAGACTGTTCACTTACACTTCCCGGGAAAGTGGGGGAGACGTCATGACCCCAGCCTCAAGGCCTGCTCTGCCTGGGTGAGATGGGAAGAGGGGAGGAGACATCCTGGTCTGGGAGGGACACCATCCCACAGCCAGGCCCTGGCCCATCAGGAGACCAGGGGCTTCGGGGAGCAGAGGACCTGCTCAGGCTCCAGGGCGAAGCTCTCACAGGGAACTCTCTTCCAGGGCTGAGTCCGGGCCCCAGGAGCCAAGTGCAGGCAGGTGAGTGTGTGCCCAGCTGTCCTGGGTCCTCCTCCTCCTGGGGACAGGGGCCACCCCTGGGCAGTGGGGATGGAGCACAGCAGGGGTGGGCTGTTGCTGGAGGTCTAGAGGGTCCTGGGGCTGACAGCTGGGGTCTGAGGGGAGGAGGAAGGTCCTGGGGCCCAGCTGTGATTTCCCTGCAGGGACCCTGCCCAAACCCAGGCTCTGGGCTGAGTCGGAATTTGTGATACCACGGGGGGAGCATGTGATCCTGTGGTGTGAGGGGACCCTGGAGACACAGGAGTACTTGCTGGTCAAAGAGGGAAGCCCAGCACCCTGGGACACACAGGCTGCAGTGGAACCTGGGAACAAAGCCAAGTTCCCACTCTCATCGATGACAGACCACCACGAGGGGCTATATCACTGCTGCTATCAAATTCCTTATGTCTTGTCAGAATACCGTGAGCCCCTGGAGCTGGTGGTGACAGGTGAGAGGACACTCAGGGTCCCAGCCCCAGGCTCTGCCCTCAGGAAGGGGTCTGCTCTCAGGGGTGCCCCCCTCTCACAGTCCAGCCCTGAGGACAGTGTGGGAGGTGCGAGTCCATTTCACACGCTGCCTCCTTCTCTCCTAGGAGTCTCCAGCAAACCCAGCCTCGCAGCCCTGCCCAGCCCTTGCTGACCTCAGGAGGGAGCGTCACCCTCCAGTGTGGCTCACACAGCGAATCTGACAGGTTCATTCCGACTAAGGAAGGAGGAGACAAGCCCAGGCCCTGTTTCACGTGGGCCATGTGATCCCCAGCACAGCGTGGAGGTCCAGATGCTACAGCTATGACGGGAGCAAACCCAGGTGTGGTTGGATGCCAGAGATGCCCTGGAGTTTCCGTCTCAGGTGAGGAAATTGCAAGCTTTACTCAATCCTTTCTGAGATTGCACACATCGTATATTACCATGATTTCTCCTCCTGGTTGGGAAGGTGGTAGAGGGGACTGTAGGGGTCCCAAGCCAAAGATTTTGACTGCCACAGTCCATGGGACCAACTGGGCAGGACAGGAGGGCAGGGGCGTGGCAGGAACCAGCCCCTCAGCCCGGCTCCTCCTCCCTCCAGGGCTGTCCAGGAAGCCCTCCCTCTTGACCCAGCACGGCCCTGTCCTGGACCCTGGACACAACCTGACCCTCCAGTGTCGCTCTGACCAAGGCTATCACAGATTCGTTCTGTCCAAGGAGGGGACAGGTGACCTCCTCCAGCACCCTGGCCGGCAGCCCCAGGCAGGCCTCTCTCAGGCCGACTTCCCCCTGGGCCCTGGGAGCCCCTCCCACGCGGGCCGCTACAGATGCTACGGTGCACACAGCCTCCTCTCCGAGTGGTCGGCCCCCAGTGACCCCCTGGACATCCTGATCACAGGTGAGGAGCCCAGGGCTCAGTCGGGGCCCAGACCCTGCCCAGGCCCTGCTGGGGGAGCCCAGGAGGTGATGGCCAGGGTGAGGGTGGGTGTCAGGGAGGGAGAGAGAGAGACAGGGGAGGGCAGGAGGGGCAGAGTCAGGGGAAACAGACAGGCAGAGACCGAGGGTCCTCAGAGACAGCCCTGCTGAGGCCTCCGCTCAGAGCAAGCTGGGGCCGCCCTCACCACCCTGCTTCTCTCCAGGACAGCTCCCGGGCACACCCTCCCTCTCGGTGCAGCCGGGACCAGCGGTGTCCTCAGGAGAGAGTGTACCCTGCTGTGTCAGTCCCGGACCCCGATGGACACTTTCCTTCTGTCCAAGGAGGGAACAACTGATCCCCTACTGCGTCTGAGATCAGAGCCCCGAGCTCAGCAGTCGGAGGCGGAATTCTCCATGAGAGCTGTGAGCTCAGGCCTCGGGGGGACCTACAGGTGCTATGACTCCTGGAACTCATCTCCGTATCTGCTGTCACGGCCCAGAGAGCCCCTGGAGCTGCAGGTCTCAGGCGAGGAGCCCCAGGCCCCATCCTCTCTGAGCTCAAAGGCAGCTAGCTCAGTGCTTTGCGCCCGAGAGAGCAGTGATAGCACCAGGCATGATGGAGTGAAGGGACAGGGTCCAGAGGAACGTCCCCCAAATGTGGCTGGAAATAGGCGGAACCTTTGTCCCCCTGTGCTCCCTGTCACCCTGTGTCCCCAGCTCCAGGGGCTCAGACAGAGTTCACACACAGGGGAGAGGGGATGGAGCTGGTGGAACCACAGAAGGAGTGGGGTTAGGTGGAGGGCAGAGGAGGATGCCTTCGTCTCAGACCCAGGCCCTCTGTGTCCCAGAGCCTCGCCACACATCCTGACCCTGTGGGTGGTGGAAAGCCTTGATCCTGCCCTGAGAGATTCGAGCCTCAGAGTGACCCCGTGTACAGCACTCACGGGCTCTGTCTCCGGAGGAGCAGGGAGGCGTGGACTGAGAAAGCTGCTTGGGTTTCCTGGGGCTCTGAGGCCGGGGCAGTGCTACCCAGTGTCAGAGGGGTAGAAGCACCTGGTGGTGACGCCTGAGGAAGGGACCCAGGAAAGCAGGGTGCGGGAGCTTCCAGGAGGGTTCCAGGAGCTTCCGCTGCTGAGCAGGAGCCAGGACAAGGGAGAGCAGAGGCAGGTGCTTGGGGTAGGAGTGGGTGTGAAGGACCAGGCAGGCGAGCTGAGTCTGTGGTCCAGCTTCTCCTGCGAAGCGTGGCCTGCTGAGAAGGCCTCCTCCTGCTCCCAGCTGCCCCATCTGAACACAGGGAGCTGCCTGAGGGTCACCCCAGACCTTTCACTTCTGAGCGCCTGGCGCTTCTCGGCAGGCGCATCCTAGGCCTGCTGTGGGCTCAGTCCCCCGCGGCGCTCCTGCTTCTCGGGGGAACTGTTACTCGTGAGGATGCAGTGGTGCGGGAAGGGTGGCTGAAACCGACTCAGTGTCTCGTTCTGGGTTCTCCCCTAGACAGTCACAGCATGAAAGAAACAGCAAAGGTTCCTGACAGTCATCATTTGGAGTCCACCCCCTTCGCGGCAGTTTGGGAGAGAACTGCTCAGCACTGCCAGAGCTCTGCAAGACCTGTCAGGAGGAGGGTAGGGGCCAACCCTGGGGTGCAGCAGGTGGAGGCGGGGCTGACGTAGACAAGGATCTGGAGGAGAGAGCATGGGACAGGTAGGCAGATGTCCCTCCGCAGCCGTCATTTCTTATGTGTCTCACCACGCCTGTGGTCCTGAACCCTCTGAGGCCAGGGCAGGAGGCTGCTCGGCTTGGTGGGTCCAACCGCGGGTGAGGCTAAGTCCTCAGCCTGGCTGCTCCTGTAGGACCAGGCTGTGGGCACCGCGGGCACGGGCCCTCCTGCGCCACCTGGCGGCCTCTGCTCAGTGTGCCCCTGAGACGAGGGAGGGACCCCGCCCTGCTCAGGTCACGGGGGTCTCTGCCCAGCGGGGCACATCTGTGATCCTGTGGATCCTACTCTAACTTTCTGCTATGTTCATGCACCTTTGTGCTCTTTTTCTGAAACTTTGAAAACAATAATGTGTAAATTTAGCTTAAATTTTATGGATACATAGTTTAAAGTAAATATTTCTACTGTTTAAGTGACTAGATTATAATCATACATTATAAACCATCTTCTTAGTTGCAGGTCTTTGTGATGTTAAATCCTATGATGTTTCACTTTAGGTTTTCAAAGAACTTTATTTTTAAATTTTTTTTTTCTTTTTTTACCAGTACCGAGAACCGAACTCATGACCTTGCGCTTCCAGGCAGGCGCTGTGCCGCTGAGCTAAATCCTCAGCCCCCTCAAAGAACTTTAGAAATATTTCGATTGGGTCTTTTGTTTAGGGGGTCTAATTTTTTTGAGTTCTGCACATATACTAAATATTAGTCTTCTGTTGGAGGTGTAGCTGGTAAAATTTTTCTCACTCTGCATGTTGTCTCTTCACTCTGTTGCTTGTTTTCTCCGATGGCAGGTTTATAGCTTGATAAAATCCCATTTGTTGATTTTTAATGTTACTTCCTGTGCAATTGGTTTTTTTGTTTGTTTGTTTGTTTGCTTTTCTTCTTTCAGAGATTCCTTGCCTACACCTATGGTTTTGAGAGTTTTACCCGTTACATCTTCGAGGAGATTGTTTCTCTTTGACCCATTCTGGTTTTAGTTTAGGGCATGTTAAGAGATAAAGTTCTAGCTTCAGTCTTCTGCTTGTTTACGGCCACTTTTCCCAAGTCTGCCATAAAGAATTATACATTTGGGTCATTTGTAGGAAAATGGATTCAATTTGAATTCATTATGTTAAGTGAAATAAATCAGATACGCAATTGTAAATAACCGTACAGTTTCTCATGTAGGAGGAACCCAAAGCATAAATACAGAGCAGAAGAAAAGACAGAAGGAAACAGGGAGGTAGATATTCTGTAAATGAGGAGACCAGCAGATGGAAGAAGAGAAGACAGAGGGTGAGGAAGGAGATGTGAAAGGAAGTAAGAAGTGTCATACATGCACCAAAAGTGCTGTTAAATATAAAAAAGGAAAAGCAAAACAAACACGTGGAGATTTTATTTGTGAAACTTACATACACGCTTGGTAATTTTAAGCATTGTTTAACTGCTTAAACGATTTGCGCTTGAGGCTTTTTATATTTCCACAAAATAATATTACTAATGTGTACACGGGATGTCTACTGGTTTGATATTTTAATTTTCCTTCATATTATCTTAGGATCTTTTCCTCTCCAATTGCTTCTAATCACTCTCCTCTGATTTACACCTAAAAATTACACCAACCATAGTAAGGTGATATTTCAATTCTTAATTTTTAAATTATGAAACAGTGTTTTCTGGTACAAGTGAGTCTGTGTGTACTGACATATTCATCTAGTGTCGTGTACCTATGGGAATGCAGGGTTTTGGCAAAAGCGACAGCATTTGTCTTGCATACATAAGTGTTGTAGAATCCAAGAGGTCAGCCACCAACGGGAAAATGAGGATTTATTTCCAGGATTTGGGTGCATATCAACCCAGCCAAACTCATGTCCAAAGTATTAGACGTTAGTACAAAGAAAGGTTCCAGTTGTGTATATTTGGCTGACAGCACTGGTCTTGAGATCTAGGGAAGGGGTCATGGTAAGCAGGGGTACAGAAGCAAGACAGAGCAACCAAAAGCAGTTAATAACTTAGCCTTGGCCGAGGCAGAGCCTTCTGACTCTTGCAAGAACAAGATGACATAAACTGCTCACATGACATAGTTTCCAGTCTTATCTGTACCAGAACAAGAAGTTACAGCTACAGGGGAGGAGGGGCAGAGTTTGAGTGGGTTTGCTCTTTAAGTTCCGTTTCATTTCCCCTTTGATGCTTTCTACAATGTTTTAATAGAGAGCATCACTATCATTAACATTTACCGTGTTATGGGAGGTTGGCTCCCTATTCAGCAGAGGGAGAATTATAACAAAAGGAAAAGAAACTTAATGTTGTTGTATCTTGATGTTGATTGTCAAGCTTTAGACCTCTGTAGTCAGCTTCCAGGGTGACCAGAGAGGGGCTGTTGTCTCCAGTGGTGGCCCCATCTTGTCTCAGGATCAGCTGGCTCGAGTGGTCTGGATCCTGTTGGCTGGTCCACTTGTCTTGGGCCTCTGGTTTGTGCCAGCTGTGGTGGATCTAAGGTACAGTTGTTGCAACTTTAACAGGAGTGGGAGTGGAAAATATTACAGTGTGAGGCCCATCTCATAAGAGCCCCAGGTGGTTGGATTTTATTATTATGTTTTTAACCCAAATAAAGCTTTGAATGAGTTTACTGGGTCTGTCAGGCATATAAGCATTCTTCCTGTACACAATTTTGGATACATGGCTGTTTTTACAGCCTATATTTGTTTCCTTAAGGTTAATTTTTTAAATTTAGAGATCACCATCAATTTTACCTATGATTGGGGTTTGCCAGCCATATTGAAT